CTCTTCTCTTCCACGAAGCAGCGTCGTTGTCTTGTTGGAAAGACATTTGATCTTTCCTCGAACTTTGAAGAGATATTCTTTTCATTTATTTTATAAGTCAAAACATAAAAAACTTGTCTTTAATGAACTCGCCAAATCTCCAAATGGTGATTGGAATAAAAGAAGTCATTGTGGGAAAATAATGAATTATTTTCGATGAAAAAAAAAATGCTGGTATTAAATTTTGAAGATGCACCAACGCAGTGAGCAGAAATCTGAAACCAGAGCGCCATTAATTAAGTACTTTACAGATCTCTTGTAAATTAAACTGCTTGACGAAGAAATAGAAAGCAGAATTATCGACAATAAAAACAATTTTGGTGTGTTTACAAGAAAAATTGAAAAACGAACAAGTGTTCTCACCGAATAACGCACCATATTTCGAATACGAAGTCATCACTGAGTGTTTTCGCTTGACATCAAACTTCCAGCGTACCTGGAAATTATCATTACAAACTTTAGCAATGTGCCTAATACATAACATGCACGGATTTAGGGGGAGGTGCGCCAGGATATTCAATAGCATTAGCGCCCCAATACCAGTGCATTACTTTATGTTTCAGTTGGAAAAGCACCATAAATCAAAATCAAACAGTTGGTATTTCATCCACAGTGTAATCCGAACTCTCTTCCATATGCATGTGTACGAACGTATACACGAGCTACGATCATTACTTTGGTCAAATAACATCAAATGAATAATGGCTATGATTACTTTCTGTGAATTTAATTTCTCATTTTTGTTTCATTTTTTAATTCATTTACTATGTTGTCGGTTTCATCTCATTACAGCTCCCTGGTTTCATGAAGGTATTAATTTGTTCTATGGACATTTATAAATATTTATCCAGGAACATTCTCGTGCTTCTTTCAAATCCAATGAAGACGCTTCCGTGGGTTACATTACCCGATTCCCGGCCATGCATTCTAAACGCGTGGTGATTGGTCTAGTGGTTTTCAATAGCCGTTTGAATTATAACACATTTACAAAATCATACCTTCATGGTACACAGTGTACGGTTTTTAAAATTTCATTTATGCAAACTTTTCAACTTTGGTCAAAGCAAGTTATAGAAAATCGGAAAGATACTCGCATGTGTTCGTAAACAATGAATGCATTTTATTGGACTTATACGTTACACTCCAATCGCGACACATACGAAAATAAAAAAATGAGGGCGCTCTGTCTCACAATCACGTTTTTGCCAGGATTCTGTTCTGTTTTGTTTCTGGAGTAAATAAATGCCAACAACTAAACAACATTTCCTTGGTGACATTTCCTGATTTTCGGACGAACGTTGTTGCTGTAGGTGCCACTTAACGGTGAGTTCATCATGTGTTGTGCCTAGTTCGTGACTCAATATAAAAATGCATGCTTCATGACATCCACTATACGGTCTCACTCTCATGGGCACGTCCCTTGCTAGAATCGCCTAGGCGAGCAACAGCCTGTATACGCTGCACGGTGATTCACACCTGATAAGACGCATTGTCTTTCTATTGCACTCATCTTAAATTTATGAATAGGTAGACGTACTTTCATCTTGGCTGAGTTGCCGCCCGATTTAGTTTTGATTTTCACGACAAGATTCGAATCTTAAATTTTATATTATATTGGGTCAAAAAATAAATAAATACAGACCTTGCCCCTGAGCTGGTGCAATGTTAAGTTGTAAATCAAGGGTTTAACACAGATCCGTATATTCTAGGCAAGTTTACGAGCATGTCTGTACCGTTCTTCTGCATTTATTAACAATTTTAATTTAATATTGCCAGTAAACCCGGTGTGAGCGGATGACGATTTTTTTATCCGATGTTCAATTCGAGTGAAATTTACAGATGGCACAAAGCTTGAAATGTTCGGAAAAGTTCGGCCGCCGTAATTCGATGTTAAACATGGACTTCTTTAAAGGCCCAGGTATACTATAAATACGCTCCTAAACAATAGGGATCATTTCCTTGCTTGTCAAGCTGTAGTAAACAGCTCCAGCCAAGCTCCGGTAAAAACGTGTTTTCTCGAACTTACAGGTCAATTATGTCGTGCCAAAGTGGATGCATGTGACTATGAATATCACAGCAGTGACTGTGTGTAATATTTATGACAATAAATTGTGTACGAGCTGAGATTTTGGCGGATAAATGTAAAGAACATGAACCGGGGAAAGGGATGCGCGACTAATCTTGAATAATTACTACTGTCAATCAAAGTCATGTGATGTTGGACCGCTGAAACAGGATGCATCATAGGCTACGCAAGTGATTAACACCATGCATTAGAATAGCCACACCTCCAATTCACACTTGCCCGGGGCAAGTGAATTGGGCCTTTAACATTAGCTTTCACGTTAATGGTGCGCTCTCGCAAGAAACAATACTGCTGTTCGTCCTCTTCAGGGACGACTGAGTCGACAGTTTCAATTTCTTCAATATCAAAATCATTATCGTTGAGTTCTAAAATGTCGTGATCAACAAAATCCGAACCGAGACCAAACTTTCTCTGTTGCCTGTTCGTCGCCATTTTGTTTTCTCTTGACGATCGTAAACAGATCGTTGGTGATGTTCGGGACAAAACGAAGATGAACCGAGCTATAATCGGGCGTGTTTGTGATCGTTTCCCGTGGACAGGAAATTATGCAGACACGATCTGGATTAACAGTAATCTGGTGGCGGCAACGCACATACATCAAAGCGAGTAAACACTGTGCAGCGTCCATCTCTAGTACGTCCATGCTTGATGCAGTCTAGTTTTTGAAGTATACATTTTATTGCTAGTCACTGGAAATTGGTCTGAGTACAGAATGCTTGGCAAGAATGCAGTGTTGTCAACTGTTTCTTACAGTTTGATACCTACTATATAATTTTCATTACCTGCACTAGCCCCGAGTACAATCCTGTAGGTTGGCCTCCTACTGCTGATCATTCGGCCCCACAGTCCTAAATCGTATAGACTGTGAATTTGTCACTATGTGAAATGCTGTATCAGGTGATTCAAGAGGCATTCACCTTTGCGGCTATAAATAAGCAGTATGATATGTTTAACTATCCCAAATAACCTTAACTGGAAGTGAAATTACAGAAGATTTTCCACGAGAGTCAACATTTTCTTGTTCTTGACAAGATTTGTATTTATAAATGAAATAACATTTTGTTGCATTCGCAAATTTTCCAGCATTGTGTTAATTTTTCGACTCCAAGAAGAAGATTTATGGTTGCTAGATTGGTCGATAGACATTTTGGCTGATTATGACTAATCAGTGGAAGGAGGCTAACCTACAGAACTGTACTCAGGGCTATGCCTGCACTAGTGTGAAGTAGCGTTCAATAAGGTGTGCAACTATGGTGAAACTTGCAAACACTACCTCCAGCAAGCGTCTGGGAAGCTATTGAACCCTTTTTTAAAGGGCAGTGGTCATCGTGCTGCGCATGTGCAATATTTGTGTTGATAAACATTTCTTTTCCCACAATCCAATACGCTCAGTAGTATGAGTTTTGACCTGGGTGCTTCTAATTATAGGTGGTGACTGCTACAATACCCTCCAATCACCAAAGAAATTAAAACTTGGTAACGTCTCATATCTCGCACATGCATGGCGTGATGTGATGATGACAGCTCTTTGAATAAGCATAACTCTTCTAAATTTCAGTCAATTTAGTAAAAAGTTAAACTTTCCCCCATCACACACACACACACACGCACACTCAAACTGGCATGAAGTGTTCATGTCTAAATGACACTTGTCACGAAATGTCCAAGTGACTCCCGTGCAATGTAAATCAATTCTCAAATTAGTTGTTAAATAATTTTGTTACTAGTGTATCATTAACACATGCCACCATAGTCATTCATACTATTGCAATTATTTATTTGGTTGTTCAAGAAAATCTAAGGGTTCAACAAGAAAAGTATTAATTTGATGAATTAATGAGCCGTTTCTTAAAATCGTTTAGCAACAAACACATAAACAATTTCATGAACTTCAACAATCATAGAAAGTGCCTGCTATTAATGAAAATCCAAAACACTGTAATCCATATGTCACTGGCAAAATTTATTGAAAATTTTTTTTTTCAAAGACGGTAACACCTCCTCCCAATTTAAAAAAATTAAATTGTCCTATTCCATATTACAAATATCTTGAATTCTGCATTTTATTTTATTTTAAATCATTGTTTGCTTATTGATGTGACTTTTGTTAGTGAGTGTATGTTTATTCTTTGTTATTTAACCATTTTAATTCCTTCGAGAAGTTTTAAACATTTTTCAATTAAACGAAATTGAATAAATTTGCTTTCAATTTTGTTGGCATTAATAGGCTCTTGTCAGTTCCTCTGGCATAATGTGTTTATTTCATGTAAAATGATTTAACCAAATGCTACAATGTAATTTGATTAATTCTTTTTGTTGAACAAACAAACATTAGGTCAGAGTGACTGTTGACAGTTTAGGCATTAATTGTTTACCTCAAAACTATTAAGTCTTACTTGAATCATAATAGTAGGTATAATATAAACACATGTGCATACCCAACTGAAATATAAACACATGTGCATACCCAACTGAAATATAAACACATGTGCATACCCAACTGAAATATAAACACATGTGCATACCCAACTGAAATATAAACACATGTGCATACCCAACTGAAATATAAACACATGTGCATAACCGACTGAAATATAAACACATGTACATACCCAACTGAAATATTGTCTGGAGAATTTATAGGAAACCACAATTTATTTTGCCACCAAAATGTGACTGACTGGTATGGTCAACGTGACAAGAGCACTCCACACAGAGTGTTGTCCCTTGATAGCAATGACGATACTTATGAATGTTTCAGCAATTATTTTAAAACTAATTTATGAACAGTTTACAATTAGAGTAATTAAAGACCTCTTATAATTATTATTTTAATGCAATTCTGGCCAGAATTTCTAACAGAATTCTGCTTTTTAGGGTTTGCCAGTAATAGGTTCATACTGAGACACAATGTTTTAAATGTTTGTTAAAAAAATGGAAGGGGACTATGTACTTATAGATTTAAATAAAAAAAAATAACTCCATGATTCATTAAACTGGAACTTTCAGAATAACGTCACA